TGTTGGATTAATAACATTTATATGTACAAAATTTTGATTCGGTTCGACTATGCAATTTCCAATAATTAAACCTGAACTTAAACATTTTGATAAACATACTTTTGGTTCACTAAAATTAATTTTTACTTGTAAAATTTTTTCAACTCTAGGTGGTATGACATAATCTTTTGAATTAAATAATTTTGCACAAATACTTTCATTTTCAAAATTTAACATTACTGTTTTGGATTCTATATCAATATTTGCTTTAAATTTGGTTAAAAAATCTTTCCCTATAATGCCTATTTCCCTAGTTGGTAGGTCTCTTACAACTTGAAATGGAAATTCGGTTTCTTGCCCATTAAAATTTAGTCCTAAAAATACCGCTCCTAAAGTTTTAACTGTATGGTTTGTTATACCGCCAATTTCTATACTCAATTTCGTGTAAATGGTCGAATCCAAATCTAATTGTTTTAAATCTATTAGTGAAATGTCGCTACCTGTATCAACTAAAAATTTTGAAAAAGTATCATTCGTGTTAGTAGTGGATAATTGAATAATATCAAAAGTTCTTGAATTATGTGATAGAAAACTATTTGGAACTTGAGTTTTTATTTCATTAATTCCCTTGTCGAGACGGGTCCTAATCCGTTTTTTGAAGTTGTTGTCTGTGGTTGTGGTTCTTGGTTGTTTGTTTCTTGATTTTGTTCATTTGTGCTATCTGTCTGACAGTAATATGCCTGTCTGTTTTCGTTTGTAGGAATAAAAGATTTTGGTGGATTATAATTATTATTTCTTGGGTAAAAACTTTTTCGTCTTGGATTTCTACATTCTTGAATTAAATGTCCCGGTAATTTACAGTAGTTACAAAATTTATTATTATTATTATTAGTACCATTATTTATGTTCGTTGAATATTTATTATTATTTTGATTTAAAAAGCATTGTGGAGATATATGTCCGCGTTTTTTACAAGTAAAGCAGATAACGTTATTGGAATTTGGATTTCTAAAACGAATTTGATTGTTAGTAAATTTTGTCGAGTTTCTCATGTTTTCTTCTTCTTTGGCGAATTTAATTGCTTCCGAGATACTAGTGAATCTACAACATTTTACTAGAGTTCTTATGGGTTCTCTAAGGCCGTTTTCAAAAGCTTTTATGCCTACTTCAGTAAATGTTGTTTGCGCTCTGTCAGCTGAGTCTTGTCCTTGTAAGTTTATGTTTGCGTAATAAATTTGTCGTAATAGTTCTTCTATTTTGTCTCCAAAATTTTTTACAGATTCATTATATGTTTGTTTTAAATTACTCATTTCAGCTATTAAACTTGCAATAGGTCTTGTTACCGAATATTCTTTTGTTAAGAAAGCTTTTAAATTTTTCCATGAATCTATTTTCATAAATTGAATTTTTGCTAAAATATTTTTGTCTAATTTTAGTTTTATAATGGTAAGCAATTTTTCCGCTTCTGTAGGCGTTAAGTCAGTATTTAATGAATCACATGCCGTAATAAATGCAGGGAGCGCTGAAGGTTCTCCGTCAAAAGTTGGAATTAGAGGAATTGCCGTTTGGAAACAAAATCTTGCATCAGAAATTGATTCAATTGTGCTATTCATCATTATTTATTTGATTGAAAAGGAAGAAAAAAAAAAGAAGAAAAAATTAAGAAAAATACAGTAAAACAGAAGCGCAAAAATTTACAATGTACAAAATATATAATTTAGTTTACTAACTTGGAATCCTCCTGAATATTTTCCTCTTGGCCTGGTACTTGTAGTAGTTCAAGGGACTTGTAATGTTGCACTAACACTCGAATATGCACTGAAATTTTCTAACACTTTTATTTTTTTTGATTTTATAACTTTTCACTTTTCACTTTTCTTGATTTTTCAACAATTTTTCTTGATTCTTGAATCTTGATTTCTGCTATCTACTAGAGTTTTCTTGACTTTTCTTATTAATTCTTGATTCGTATTCTTGCTTCTTGATTTTTTTTAAATTTTATTTTACTTCGGGTCTTGATTTATATTTTACTTCGGGTCTTGAATTATTTTATTACTTCGGGTCTTGAATTATTTAATATTTTGAGTCTTCGGTTTTCTGATCATCAACTACGTCCACTTTTGGCAAGGCTATCCTCGGAGGCAAAGTTTTCCACGATGTACTGCCTAGTTTGAAGTAGCACCCTTATATTTTTTTTGTCACTCTTGGCAGTTATTTTTCAAACGCCGTTCTTTCAAGCTCACAAAAAATTTTGAATATTACTTCATCAGTCAAACACCGCTGTCACCAAATAATTATGTTGGGAGTCAAACAGCGCTGTCACCAAATAATATGCTGGGCAGTCGAACACCGCTGTCACCAAATAATTATGTTGGGAGTCAAACACCGCTGTCACCAAATAATTATGTTGGGAGTCAAACAGCGCTGTCACCAAATAATATGCTGGGCAGTCGAACACCGCTGTCACCAAATAATTATGTTGGACACCGCGTTGATGAACAGAAAGGGTTGTTGGCGCCGCTATATGCAAATCGGTGTTGTTGCTCTGGACCTTCCGATTTTCCTGAAAAACTCACTTGCTGAAAATACTTGAGATACTTGATAAATAAAAGACTATTTCAAAAACTTCACTTTATTTCACTTTAAGTACAAGGAACTCGGAGGTATTGGAAGAGAAGTGTTTGCCCGGCGACCGACAGATTAAGACTGATTTATTTCATAATTATTAAAACTAAAATCCTTTGAAACGTAGTGGGGATTTGTCTCGAATATTCTATGCAACGAAAAGGACAATGTAATGGATTTAGCTGATTAAACAAAATGTTATTCATGCGAACTTGGTGAGAATTGTTAACTAGGCGGAATGTCGATAATAAGATCTTCCTGAGATTTGTCGACGTAGATTTATGATTTCGTGAGAGAATGTTAATGTCAGCTACTACGCAGTAGTCTGAGAAAAGTTAATATGAACCGTTAATATCAGCTAAAGCTCAAGGGTTCTAAGATTTCAGTCTGGACTTGTTAGGAATCTAATATTATGACAGTGGTTAGGAACTTGTAATATCAGGGGTGTACAACACTTGATAATAAAGCATGAAATATATTGGAAAAAAGACTTGAAGAGCTAGATGTTCAATGACTACGATGAGGCCAGTTTATAATAGCTGCAAAAATTTCAAATATATGTAAAATTAAAACATAATTTGTTTAGATCCTTGAAATGTAGAGTAATGATTAACACCACATTTGTATTGAATATTATTAAATCTGCTAATGATAAGAAGTTCTACCTTTACACTATAAGACGCAAAAGTTATTATTAGTTTTTTTATTTAGAAAAAAGATTTCAGGAAATAAATGTTGAATTTTCATTGAATATTGAAAATATATAATGCTGTTTACTTTGCAAGAGTTTTATCATATTAAACTAAATTGGTGATTCTAATCGCGATATGTGATAGACATAATATTTAAAACATTGATGTAAAAAATGGCTTTCTGTAAAAGTAGAATATAAAAAATATATTGAAAATTATAGAGACCTATTAAGGACATATTCGGATTGAAAAATGTGAAATTAAAATTTTTATTTCTGCTGTAACTTTACATGTATGAGTTTACTTAGTACTTGTATCAAAGTTAGTACTTGACTAACTTCTTACTAATAATAATACAGCATACTAGCAATTTAATATATAGCTGAAATATAAAACAAAAGTTCCTTATTTGTGTTTCCTTCATTTGCATTTTCACTACTCGTGGATTAAATGAATGCGACATAACTGTATATGCGGCTAAAAATTTATTAATAGCGGATTTAATAAGAACACACCAAACTATAAAAGAAATTAATTTCAAAGATTTTGAAAATTCAAAAACTGTTTGAAAGATATTTGTTGGGAATGTGATGAATGCTGATTAAATTTTGGCACTTTTATTTCATCACCTAGGAACGTATCCCCTATAATTATTTTAAAATGGATGTTGTGTGTGTGTGTGTGAACACGGATCAACTGATTTGCATAATTTAAAAACATTTGATTCGCGTTGACGCGGACGTGCTGACTAGTTTTTGGCAAAGACAGGTCCAGCTGTTTTGAATATGGAGCAAATAGTGCCAAAAATGGCATCGCAGTTTTAGAGATAACGGAGCGTCCGATTTGAATGATTCAAAGAATCAATTTATTTGTATTGATGAAATGAAAAACTCTTAAAATTTTTTTTGATAACAGGTCCAGCGGTTTTGGAGATCCAATAAACAAAGTAAAAAAAATACTTGATAATTAAAATGATCATTCGACATATTATGCACATCAAATAAGACATTTTATAGGAACTTAAATAATAACAAATTTTGTTTACATTTCTATGTGTTCCATACCAATGTTTATCGGACTGCGACGCGGCGATTGCGCGCTTCGATATTTTGTCTCTACTCAGCTAACGCAGCGCTTTGAAAAAAAGTTCAACATGTCCAAAACATGTTTACTTATCTATGGTCCAAATTAATATAGAAAACATGTTTACTTATCTATGGTCCAATTAATATAGAAAATAATTCAAGTTTTTCAATAAAGTCAATTTTTTTCAGAAATTTCAAGATTCTCAAAAATTCAATTTTTCCAGTCCATTTTTTGTTTCTTATTCTATTTTCTGTACGGAAACTTTCAGCTGTTAGTTGACATTTGTGATATGCTTGAACATAAACTTGAGCCGTCTGTGGGCACTGTGCAAATACGCCTGGTTGCGCATTCATTCAGTTGCACATGCATATGCACAATGATTACCTATCTATGGTTATGCATTCATAACAAAACAGCGCCATCACGAGGGACCGCTGAACTAGCACTCTTAACGTAAAAATCGGGAGAGAGAAACAAGTGGCGCGTCTTTTCTCTATGTCTCTACTGCTACAAACTGTATTGTGCTTCAAATGTAAATTTAGGTGAAATATTGATATAACTAGACATTTTTTTTAGCACATAACTATTTTCGTAAATATTTTGTGAGTACAAGCAAAAATGTCTGAGAAAACAATTATGACTATGAATGATCAGACAATTAAAATTGAATATTCACCAGCAGACATTAAAGTGGAAATTGAAGATGAATTTGATAATCTTGATGTTATTGTTAAATCTGAATCGCGATCTGAAGATGATGATACGTGTTTGACTGAAGAAGAAGTCAAACAAGAGGTAATCGAAACATCCACTAATGAATATGACATTTGCAATAGATCATTTGCAGAATCACGTCATCATATGGTCATTCGTAAGCCTAATCACAGAAAAGAAAGTTCTCTCAAATGTGAAATCTGTCATAAGATTTTCAATCGATTAGATCATTTGAAAGTTCACATACTGATACACAGTGGAGTACGCCCCCACGAATGCAGAACGTGCAATAAGAGATTCACACAATTAGGTAATCTGAAAAGGCATCTGCTCATTCACAATGGAATACGCTCCCATGAATGCTCCATTTGTAATAAGAAATTCACACAATCAAGTAGCTTGAAAAACCACATTCTGATTCATAAAAAGGTACGTCCTCATAAATGCAAGGTATGCAATAAGACATTCAAACAATTAAGCCATCTGAAAGGACACATGCTCATTCACAGTGGTGAGCGCCACCATCAATGCAGTATATGCAATAAGGCATTCAAAACATTAAATCATTTGAAAAATCATATAATGATACACAGTGGAGAACGCCCCAACAAATGCAACATATGCAAAAAGAGATTTTCACTATTAGGTAATCTGAATAGGCATATGCTAATTCACAATGGAATACGCTCCCATGAATGCTCCATCTGTAATAAGAAATTCACACAATCAAGTGGCCTGAAAACCCACATGCTGATTCACGAAGTGGTACGTCCCTATAAATGCAATATATGCAATAAGACATTTACAACATCAGGTAATGTGAAAAGACACAAGCTGATTCATAAAGGTGGGCGTCTCTAAAAATGTGAAATATGATAATAAGGAATTTACTGAATCGAATGATTTGAAGAGACACATGGTACATAGTTAGAAGCATTGTGAAAGTCAATATGAAATATAAGCATATTTGTTAAATTGAATTTAAATATTTGGAAACATGTTATAAAATGTTTTTGCATAATGGAATGTTTCAATAGTATGAATTATACAGTACAGTACATAATATTGATATTATTTTATAATTTTTTAAATTTTAAAATAATATTGATAATTAAATTTTATACATATTTCAATTTTTATAAATTAAGTATTAATAACGTGAATTAGCAACCATTGATTCAATAATTGATTACAAATACACACTTTGGTCAGCAGTATTGATATTTCACTTGATATTATAGATCTTAGATATGATGTCAAAAAATGTTATATTTTACCAAAATTAGATTGAAAATAAATTTGTAAACTATTCTTACAATTTTTGTTGATATATTGCTCGATTTTTAAGCTCAACTAATATTATATGTAAACAGTAGGAACTCGATTATCCGGCCATCAGTTATACAGATTTGCGATTATCTGGCCATCAGTTATACGGATCTGTGATTATCTGGACTACCAACCGTGACGAATTTATATGTATGTACATACCCACAAATCACATTTTTGCATAATTAATGCTGCAGTTTAGTATATGTATGTGATGCAATCTAAGAAAATATGTATGTACATACTTTATCTATGGTACATACATAAGAAAATGATAGTTTTTTAATGATCATTGATTTTTGTTGATATCTATATGTATGTATTTTTATTTTTAATAAATACACATTATTCTTCATACATTCGATTATCTAGACTATCCATTATTCTAAGGCCCATCGACAACAATTAGTTCGGTTAATCGAGTTTCTACTGTAAATGTATTTAGTAAAAGCTCCTCACTTTGCAGGGAATACGTTCCATGAAAATGCATTAAATAAAAAATCTGTGCTATATATTAAATATTATATTTTATTAACAGAAAAAGACATACATGTGCTTATGAACAACGTTTAAATATATTTATGTAATAAAAATAAATAACATTTTGTTGCTAATTTTTTGTATATGATATTTATCATAGATAAGGATATTTATATAGTATCATATTAATTAATATTTAATAAATTATTCGGTGTAACCATTTCACAAACCAAAATTTAGTTCACGTTCTATTATATAGATAACAGTAGTGTTTTCTACGGAGTCCGTTGCCTAACTTTTTTTAATTTTTTTTTTTAACGTGTGGGCAACTGCATGGCTGGCCGCAATTTTTTATTGGATCATCGAAACCGCTAGACCTGCCTCCCACAAATTTAATTTGTTTTCCGTTTTGTCTATACATTTAAATTTTTTTAATGATATTGGACCATTTTTCAAAAACGGAATTATTATATTTGGACCTGCCTTGGCCAATAACTAATCAGCACGTCTCGCTATCAATAGGAATCGAATCATACAAATAACATTTAATTTTAATAAATTTAATACATAAAAGTTAATAATTTACAAAAAAAATCGAAATATAAAAAAAGGTTTCTCAAATTCAATTTTCATCATTTTTCAAAAAATTTTAAAGTTTTTCATAAAATGTAATTTTCAGTACGGAAAGTTTCAGTAACTTGCCGTAAGGCACAATGCCATGCTTCACTAATTTAATTTTTTTTCCGCGCTATAAGCTTGGAAGTGCACAAATTCGTCATGTTAAAAGGGCTTGAGATCTGAAAAACATATTTTTCTTAAACTTTCAACTCATTTACGTATCCTTATATTAGCCAAATTGCCAAATTTTGCATTGCATTTGTATAATGTTTTATTAATTATATTTCTTGAAATAAAAATGTTATTAAAAAAGTAAGTTAATTATATGGTATAGAATTTTTTTCTCACTATCTAAATTTTGCCGCCCCCGAAAATTTGCCGCCCTGGGCAATAGCTCCGATTGCCCCTACTGTAAATTCAGCACTGGATATAGCGATACGCTATATATAGGATATAGTGTTATACTATATGTAGAATATAGTGTTATACTACAAATAAAATATAGTTTTATACTATTTTGAAAAAAAATACATTTTTTTTAATTTTCGAAAAAAAAATTTTTTTGAATACCGAAAATAATTTGGATTTTAATTTTAACTCTGGCTAAAGTTCTAAAAATTACTTATATACTTTAAATGAATAATTTTAACTTTGCTATTCAGTTTATATAAATCTTATAAATGTTAAACAATGTTCTTTATTTTAAATTTGATTTATTGAGTGTTCTGTAAATTTAATTTTCTTCAAATATCTCTTTACGGTACGGGAAGTTCCAGCAATTTGCCTTAAGGCACTATGCCATACACCACTAGTTTATACTTATTTATCTATGGTCCACAATGCCATTCACCATTAGTTTATCTTTTATTTATTTATATTTTATACTCTTCGATTCAGATTTAAATAAACATAACACGCTTCCATCTATGATCCGTA